GCCATCACACGATCTCCATCAACCATCGCAATCCTCCTGGGAGCTACCTGCACGGAGCATTCCACCCATCTTCACGCCTCTCACTGAAACATGCACGCGCGTCATCAGTCATGACGCACGGCGTGTCCCAGCACAGGCCGCATAAACGAGGCCATATTCCCGAGTCCAGCATTGGATGACAGACGCCACTGGCCACGCAACCATTGGTCACCGATGTACGTCCGCCAGCAAAACATGCGTGATGTGCCCAGCTACTGCGCATTCCGAAGACCCACAAGACTTCCAGACTGTCAGTAACCAAGCGTCATGCAACACATGCAATATATTCTTCCGAGGAACCCCAAGCCCTTCAGTCTGTCTGTACTCAAGCGTCATGCAACACATGCAATAAATTCCAACTCTGTCATGTCCCGAATGCCTGACTGCGTTGAATTCCCACTTCTCCACGTTCTTCGTGCAGCGAATTCCCATCCACGCATATTCTCATGCAGGCAGATGCAACAAATTGTCCCAGCTGCTCATCTGCTGTTTTCTTGCGCCATGCAGAACCCATTTGTCGTGCAGAAATCCTCATGCAAGAAGCATCGTTATCGCCTTGTGCAGAAGGCCCCGCCAATACTTGCCAGATCTCAAAGAGTGCTGTTGCGCATTGGAAGGCCCCCGGGGAAGTTCGTGCCCCACTCAGTGGTAATGCTTGCCGTACCAGGGTGCTCGAGCGGTGTCGCACCTTCGCCCAACCTCAACGTCAGCGCCTTTTGCAGAAGGCCCGGGATCAGCCATTGTGTATGAGTCTTTCGAGGGCTCGCCAGTCCCTCCTTCTTGAGCTCCAGAGTGTTGGTACAGCACGTCGATGTTCAGACACCATCACCCCCATTCAATGTCAGCGCCTTTTGCAGAAGGCTCTCAGCAAGCGCTCGTGTTCCACCGAGCGTGTTTGAGTGTTGCCCTGTCGTTGCAGGGCCAGTCCATCATCGTTCACAAACACAGCTTTGCATGAGGCTTCGCGCCCCCGTTTCGTCGGTGCAGAAAGCATCTCAGGGGACCAGTTGCTGTCGTAGAAACTGAAACTTGTTCCATGGCGCTGGCTTCCGCGGGTTAGTGGTTTCTATAACCAGGGGCTCGGGAGTGCGGGCTTCCTATCGGAGGCGAGACGACGGCACGACATTTTGGCCCATTTCAGGGGGGGGGGGGGTGGGCCCGTAGTCGGCGAGGGGGCGAAGCCCATACCCTGCATCCGTGTCGTTCTGGTTCAGGGTTTAGGGCTTAGGGCTTAGGGTGATGGGTTTAGAAGTTTAGGCTTCCGCATGGCAGATTCTACGACCCACTTGGCAGGTCGGGTTTATGAATAAGGCCGGCTTGAGGATTCTATCTTGCTGGGTTTTGAGGTATGGATTTCGGGGTGTGGGGCGCTGGGCTTCTGCAGCCTACCAGCTCTGAGGTTTTAAGGTCCAGCGCTTCGGGGTGTGGAGTTTTGTTGAGGGAGCTGAGTTGGGGGTGTGCAGCCGGCTTTAGGTTCTGAGAAGCCTGAAAGCCACATAATAGAGGTGCCTTCATAATTAGAATAGGGTTTCGGGGGTGCACTATACTATAAATTTAATAAGGAACCCAAAATAATATGGGTAGTTATTGAGGCCCCTATATAAATCCTGAAAGGCCTTGAAGCCCTGACGACGGGCCCCAAACCCTCGCACCCGAAACCCTGTAGTCAAACGTCTCTCTAGTGCTGCAAAGAACTCAGAAACCCTAAACCTTGAGTCACAAACCCGCAAAGTTGAGGCTTGACAGACGTAAGCCCAGAGTGAAACGCCCTGAAACTCTCAAACAACAAATCGTAACACCCAAAACACGAGATGCCACAGCCGTAAGACCCTCACAGCACAAGCCCTGCACCCTGAATGCCTGAACTCTAAAGCTCTTGGACAACGTTTCTAACCCTGATATTGCACTTCTTCCGCTACCCTCATATAACCTCAAAAGGGGGTCTGAGGAAAAGGCTTTCGGAGTGGCGCTCATCTTCGTTAGCAGGGCCGCCTGGGCTGGCATGCCCACGAGTTTTCAATGTTCAGGTTTTGTTGGGGGTTTGGGGCCTGAGGTAGGTGTAAGGATTCGCGAGGACGAACCTGCAACGCAGGCCACATGGCTGATAAGATACTCCAAAAGAACTCTGCTACTCCCTGGACAGACAGCCTCAGCCGGGAGCATGCAGGCAGCAAACACGAAGGCTTCCAAATACGTTACACTCTCTCTGAAACCCTTTTTTCATCAGGACTCGTGCAATCGCCTGAACACTGACTTCGACAATGCAAAGAATTAGTAAACTGTACAATCACAAAGCGCTGTTCCTGCTTGTTCTCTTTTTGCATCCAGGCCTATTGCAACTGCCGGGTACCTGCTTCTCTGAAACCCTAAACCCTAAACCCTGATATCTTTGAACAGCCTTGCACTCCAAACAGCTCAGAGATCGGCCTTAGCCCTCGTGCTGCCGAGTGGGTTTAGGTTTCTACAGTGGGTACTGCATGTCTTTCATTGCCCGGTCCAGATGAATCTTGAAACCCGAATGCTATAGCCGCTAAACCTACATGACGTGCCATAAACTCGAAACCTGGAAAAGGGCCCTGCGCTTCATTCCTCTAGGTCTTCGGAACGCGACCTCCTTCACTCTCAGAGCAGTGCCACCATAATCGACGATGTATGATTCGAGCTTCTTGGAACTAGTAATCATTTTTCAGAGGGGTCTGCGAAGAAAACATGGAATTTGGTCTACGGCCTCCCTTTTCTTCAAACCTCCGATATTCCCCCATCAACATGCAAAGCGCATGCCGTGAGTCCTGATCTTTTTGCATCTGGTTTGCAGCGACTCAACCAGGACAGAAACAAGAGGCACCCCCAAAGCCCACAGCTTTAAGCTAGAAGCGTTGGGACTCGCGCCAAGCACGCCTCCGGAATGACTTCACTACTGGCGATAACCTTCAAAGTCCTAATCTGAAACCCTGGCCCTGAACCCTGCATCTGCACCGTGAGGAAGGCGAATGTCAAGGCCAGGGATTTCTTGAATCCTATGGACCCGAAATGGACCCGAAACCCCGAAATCCATCGCAGCCCTCGGATGCAGCCAAATGGCAGGCGCTGTGGAAGCTACGCCAGCGGAAGGCCGAGAGGGCAGCTTAGTGCTTGGAGGTTCATGGGTGGCTATATGTGGGGTTATAAGTAGGGTAACTATAATTATAACCCTAATTAGGGGGCTTATAACCCTACTTGCAGAGACTGTCACAGGTGATCTTAAGACCCCTTCTCGTGGGGATGAGGGCTTCATGAATCCCAGGTTTGGGGCTCAAGTTTTTGCGGGGGTCTTGCAACTGTAGGCTTAAAACATCCACCCTTCCCTTCGGGAAAGAAGGGGCCCTCTGCAGGCCTTGAGCCACACAGCCGCACACTCGACGTTTGGCAGACACTCGTCCCTCATGCGAGCCCCTCTTCGGGATGTCGGCACTGGGCTCAGTTCTGCTCAACAAATCTCGAGCCGAATCCACAATTGAACCCGAAACCCCTTTCCCGATGCCCTGAACCCGGCAAGAGGGGTCCGCACCTCGGCATCTTTGCACCTAAGCACACGAGGACGGCCACGGCTTGGGGAGTTTTTTGCAGGAGTTTAAGTTTTGGGTCTCGGACAACCTTTTCTCTGCCGTGCTGGTCAGCTTTTTTGCGCCCGTCGGCCAACGTTTGGGCGTCAGGCGAGCTGCAACAAGCACCGATAGTGGGATGCGGTTGGCGTGGCTTCAGTTTGATGACTCGGCCAAAATCGTTTTGTGTGGCTGCGGTCACTTGTGAGCGGAGTTGAGCTTCTGAGCTGTCAGCTTGCGAGCTTTGGTGCCGGGCTGGTGAGCTTCACGGCTGATAACTAAGGACAGGCTGTCCACAACTCAACCTGAAACCCCGCGTTGTCAGGACTACCTTCTGTTGATGAGTGTGTTACAAGCATGCACGCCAACATCCCCCCTACCACTCCTGCTGCTCTAGAGATGTTCTATCTATATTCGAGCTGTTCATGGCGTGAGGGGGAAATCCGTCGGCTTCTCCAAAGCTTGCACCGAGCATTTGTGGAGTGGGCGATCGCTCCTGCCGAAACCTCCGACGGCATCGCCCCAGGAGCCAACGTCGTCGCAACAGCAGCAGGATACCTGGGAGCTCCCGACCCCTTCAAGCGACCCCTATGACCCCTATGAAGAAGCATCACAAACGGTGCCTAGCAGCTAGCACCCCGAAACGGCCAACCCCCAAGGCTGAAAGGTTTCTCCAGGTGCAACACGCGAGCAGCACCAGTGGAAGACACGCTAAGAGCAGCAGGTCCCGCAGGGAGGGCTCGAAAGGACAGCCGGAGGAACCTGTCTCTGTAGGAATGCATTGATTCTACATCTTCCTGATGCCAGCATTTGCTCTTCATGATGAACTACTCAATAAAAGCTCTGTGCAAGCTGTTTCTTATCAGCCGGAAAGGCCAAACGGTTTTCTGCGGTTTCAGCACCAAGCTGCCACGAGCTCAGATGCTTAAGTACCAGTAGTACAGCGTGAAAGCAAAAACCACCAACTCGCATCATGCCTCTTTTCACCCCTGCACGCGGTAGGCCTAATGTCGGTCCACTCTACCCATCAGAAAGCCTTCCTTTCAAGCCACAAGAGCCCGCGCCACTTGGAGACGATCAACGCTTGCTACTCCTTTCGTCAGCCCTGAACCTTGTGAAGCCTGTTGCCGCGGGCTTGCCTCGTTGCTCTGGACCTCGCCAGAACGTGTAAAACCCCAAGAATCGGTGGCCTTGCTCTAAAGTCAGCCAACAGTACAGCAAAACAGCAGCTGCAAAGCTCTGCAGCTGGACACTCGAAACCCAGACCCGCATAAGATCCTACATGAGACAAGGAGCAGTTTGCATCAGAGCAGTCGTCAATGAGAACGCCGCCGACGGGATCGGAAGACCCTTCATACAGAGCTGAACCAATGAATGGGGTTTCTGATTGCTCAAAAGCTGACTTGGAAGACCCACTCGACGCCGACCGAGCGCTGAACCCAATGCATCCCCTAAACCCGAATTGGAAACCCGACAACTCAAAGCCGAATCAAAAAGCTTCACCTAAAGTGAGAAGCACAACCTCAACCCAACCCCGCCGGATCTGTAAACCCAAAACCCCTTTTATCTCAAAGCTCTCGGGGACAACTCAGCCACAAAAACGCAGGTGCCGCCAGCTGGGGCACTGAATGGTTAGGAAGCACCGGTGCTACATCTCATGGAACCTTTTGCATTGAGTCGACTTGACAGACTGCCTCAGATCCTTTGGCAGGGGCGTCTTTCCTTGTCTGAAGCCCTCGAGCGGCCGCCTTTCTGCGCTTCGAGGAGCACTTTCCTTTCCCAGCCCCAGCCGAGCCACTGGCGCTGCAGCTGCTGCCCGATCGGGCCCCAAACCAGCACACCCGTCGGCTCTGCTTTTTTGGCGCCAAAAACCCTCACTCACCCGTACCTTGAACTACCATAACCTATTGTAGGTCCTCATTATAAACCCTTATACAGATTTTACCCTACAAACAAGTAGGTTTTGGAACCCTAAACCCTAAACCCTAAAGCCAACCGTATTTTGTTGGAGCTCCCCCAAGTCCCGAAACGAAAAATCCGAACGCGCCTGGCAGCTCCTGGAGCCAAGAGCGGGCGAGCTGCTCGAGGCTCCTGGTAACTTTTGGGGGTCTTTTTTTTGGGTTTTAGGTTTAGGGTTTAGGGTTTAGGGTTTAGGGTATAGGGTTTAGGGTTTAGGGGTTTAGGGTTCAGGGGTTTCCGATGTCCTCTTCGGAGATTGTTATTTTTTGGTGTTTTTTTTTAAGGGTAGATAGAGTTCAGTCGGGTTTGTCGGGGGGTTTTCAGCCTGCTTTCGGGGTTGCGAGTTGGGGCCTCCAGAGTTTAGGGGCCTGCCAGGAGTCCTCACTCGCGGATACTGAAGCTGTTTAGGGTTTAGGGTTTAGGGTTTAGGGTTTAGGGTTTTGGGTTTAGGGTTTAGGGTTTAGGGTTTAGGGTTTAGGGTTTAGGGTCGGTGGATCACGCGGGGGGCTTTCCAGTACCCGATCCTTCTGCCCCAAAAGGAGTCGGCATTGCAAATCCTGAGCCCTCAAGTTCAGCGCTACCTGGCATTGATCCCCAAACGTTAGTTCGACTCTAAAGCCGAAATTGTCCGACAGCCTTGTCCCCTCAACTACTGAAGACAAACCCGACAATCCCTTGGTGGCAAGAATATATCATGATTCTACTTAGCATCACATCTTTTTCTGCGATTAGAAGTGCAAAGAACAAGACCAGAAACCCCTAAATAAACCGACGATGCCACCCCTCAAAAAAGCCCGAAACCCCCCAAAAAAACCCAAAGAGCCCGGGCGCCGCGCCAGCTCTGGAAGAGGCCCCGCGGCGCGGGCACCCGCACTCGCCAGAAGAGGCTGCTCTCGGCGAAGCAGTGCTGCCTTGGCTCGGGCCCAGGCCGCGTTCCTTTCGGGCTTTATAGGGTTTAGGGTTTGGGGGTTTAGGGGTTTAGGGGTTTATGCAAGACGTCTGCGGACCGTCCAAGCGAGAAGCACGCCAAGATGCTAGGGTCTAGGGGTTTAGGGGTTTAGGGTTTAGGGTTTAGGGTTTAGGGGTTTAGGGGTTTAGGAGTTTAGGGGCTGACGGGTTCCTTTCGGGTTTAATATAGGCTTAATATAGGGTTTCGGCGCTCAAACTCGGACAATCCAGGCGAGGCATATGGTTCGAGGTCTGCCAGGTAGTATCGGGTTTAGGGTGTAGGGGGGCTCCTTGAAGGCTCCCTTTCAGGCGCTTTCGGCTTCTTTCCTGCCTGACTGCCCTAGTTGTCGTTTTGAGCCTTTTTCGAACGCGCCTGCAAACATCGTCGACTCCTTGTCTGTGCTCTGGCGCGGCCTTGTCTTTGAAAAAGGCAGGGAAAAAATCCGTGGTGATCGCCCACAGTACTGCCCTCGACCCGCTTGCTTGCCGGATAAAACCTGTTTGCACGGCCCTGTAAAGATGTTGTTTTTCGCCTTCCCCGGATCCACCTGTCGCGGGCTTTGGTTCCTGGCTGCAAACGGCCGCGAACTCCTCGTTTCCTCCGTTCCCCGTAGAAAAAAGCCGTCGACTCCCCCATCGGTTTGGTTGCTGCCTTCCACGCGTCTCTCGTCAGCAGCGATGCGGTCCCCTTCGGGCCTGTCCTGCGGTGATGGGACGAAAAAGGCCCTCGACAATCCCTTCTTCGGCGTTCGTTTGCCCGATCAAACCGCCCCATCAGCCTTCGTTCCCTTCGCCTCTGGATCCCTGTGTGGGTATCCCGACCCCTCGCCGACGGAGGTCTTTATCCCGTTGCCTGGATCTTCGGTGTTGGGAATCGGGGAGCGGGGCCATTTGCTTTGCGGGAGTGCGGCCCTTGACACCGCGAGAGCTTAGCGAAGCTCCAAAGGCGAGGCCTTGGAAAGGAGAGCCGCAAGTGCCGCCGACCCTCCTCCCGCGTTTCGGGCGTCCCGCTCCGCTGATGCTCGTGATGCGCGCCCCTGGCGAAACGCAAACATGTTCTGCCGCATTCCGGGCATGGATTTGGACGGCGCCGTGCAGCGGACCCAACGGGCCTGGACTGGCACCGGGCCCCCTCTGATGCTCATGATGCGTGCCTTGGGGGTCCTAGATGGCACTAAAATTTTCTGGGATAGCATTTGCAGGCCGACAAACGATGAGCGAACTGCTAGAAAGGACTCCAGAATCTGAGAAGGGGAGCGAGCATAAGTACGAGAGAGTCAAAGAAACATTAGCGAACCGTCTGAAACGGACTGGAGAATCTGTGCAAAAGGAGCGAACCGCTCCAAAAGGAGCAAGGGGTCGGAGAAAAAGGAGCGAGCCGCTCGAAAGGGACTCGGACTAGACAAGCTAAGAAAAAGAGCGAACCGGTGGAAATGTACTGCAGAAGCTAAGAAAGAGGAGCGAACCGCTCGAAAGGAACTAGGGAATTTCAGAGAAAGGAACGAACCATTCAAAACGGACTAAAGAATCTGAGACAAAGGAACGAAACGTTCGAAAGGGCTAGTGGCTAGAGAATCTGAGAAAGATGAGCGAATCGTGGGCTCGGTTTTTTCCGGCCTTGCCTGCACAAAGGGCTTCTCTCCTGCCTGATGTCTGTGTTCTCTTTTTGTCCTGGTTGTCGTTTTGGGTCTTTTTTCCAAGCTGCCTTGCAGTTATCGCGCGGCTTTGCCCACGGTTCTGCTCCCTGAGTCCTTGTTTGGCCTGCCACCCGTTCCGGGCTTTGTGTTCCCGGTGCCTGGCGAATCGACTCCCTCGTCAGGTTCTTCTCCTGCCTTCACCTGTCGTGCGGCTTTGCCCTTGGAGCCGGCGGAGAAAAAGAAAACACACAACCGTTCCGATCACAGGCGGAAGCCTTTGCACTGCCCCGGTGATGGGTCCTGGGCTGCTGAGGTCCGGTCCTGGATCCTTAAGTGCCATTCCGCCGAGACTCGTGCAGGTCGCGCTGTAGGCCGCAGCATCGCGCCGGCCGCTAATTATTGGCAGGGTGCTCTTCACCTGAAGGTTCATGGGGGTTTCCGAAAATAGGGAACCCTAATATAGTACCCTAAATAATAGGATCCTTATTATAAGGACCCCCAAAATAAGGTACCCCTAATTTTTGGAAACTCCCAGAAGGTTCATGGCTTCGGACTGACTGGGTTTATGGGTTTCGACTCTCACACTAGCACACAGAAGGGAAGGATCCACATAATGCCGTCACTGTCACGCCTACAGACGCAAGGAGCCGTTTATGGGTTTTGGGTTGACAGGGTTTATGGCTTGGGGGGCTTCAGCGGTATCCTCCTCCTCTCTCTACCGCTTCTGTATGGCGCTATTCAAAATGGATGAGGTTTAGGTCTACGGAAAACCCACCACACTGCACCAGCTTCTGGAGTCTTTGGAAGAAAGGGGAGCATACATAGTAGGATCGCATAGATTTACTTAGAAACCGTCAGGCAAGTCCAAGCCAAATCTCAAAGCTTGACACCCCCGGTTGGACAACCCATCCCAGACACCCCAAAACGCCCCCAACAGCCCCTGTCACGCTGGCCTTAATCATTAGAATCGGGTTTTGTGGGTTCCTTACTGTAATGATTCGATAGTATAATATACCCCCCGAAACCCTACTCTAGGTATTGAGGCCACCTGGCGCACCCTGGCCCAACCTGGCCCGGCCTGCCGTTGGAGTTCCCAGGCGAGCTGCCAAGCCTGCGGAGGGCGGGAAAAAGATCACAAACCAATGCCTTTGGGCTCAGCATGTCAAGCTCTGGTCTTAGGGTTTGAAAGAGTGGTTCTGTGCTCAGTCGGGGTTTTGAGCCTTTTGAGTCGAGCTGGGGTTTAGGGCCGTGTGCTTTAGGCTTCATTGGTTCAGGGCGTCTCGTTTTGGGCTTAGATCTTTGGGGTGGGGTTTAGGGGTTCCAGTATACCGAGAAGCAGTCGAAAACCGCAGGAGGCAAAGCTGGTGGCCAGGGTGCTCCTAAACCTTGCTAACTTCAGACACCCTAATTACCCTAATTTGTACAGAAAAACAGGCTATGTCAGGCCTGAGAGGCAACGGGTCGAATTCTTGGAGCGTAAGGATGGCGAGGGGTTGGGGGCCTTTGCGGCTTGGGATTGAGGGCTGCGGAATTGAAGGTGCAGGCGTTAAAGATCTAGACTTGAACATTCAAGTGCAGGTGTTTCGACCACAAACTTGCACCTAAAGCAATGGTCCGAAGTGGCTAAACTTCCTAAACCCTTACCTAAGCCCTCCACATCCTCCGGGCTCCATAGGAACACTGGACGCTGGACACCACGCTTGGACAACATAAAGTAGTCGAACTGCTCCTCGTGCACCTGGGGTTCCAGCGTGTTCACTTCAGGGTTCCTGCTTTGGGGGGCTTCGTTGGGGGTTTGCGAGCTTGAAGTACAGAGGAACTCTCCAGACATCCATCAGATAGGGCTTGGCTTCAGAAACTGTATCGCTCAAAGCTCAAAGTCTACGGGATGGGTGGCGGTTAGAAGCCCCAGGCACTCATGCCCCCCAGCCCCAGAAGCTTTCGCGGAGCACTGAGATGAGAAGCTGCGAGCGCAGGCGTGGAATGCATAGAACCCTCAGATCGCTTATCTCCACGAAGCAAGAGCTGCCTTCAACTTGAGCAGCCCAAGCCGCGTGATCCAAAACATAGCCCAAAAACTCACAAACCCTAAACAGCATAAACCCTATGAAACCCTCACAAAGTCTTGCAAAGCTCCCTTCAAACCTGAAATGCAATGCACTGGCACCAAGAAAGGTGTCCGGACGTACGGCGCGAAGTGCGGCCCGAAGAGACACAAGTGGGCCGCATGCTCTCCTCGCGGGCTTACGGTTTGGACCTTCCCCCATCCGCCCACCTAGCGACCAGCCAGCCGGCCATCCATCCACGCACGCAAGAGTACATCTACCTCTTCATGTGCGTCCATATCATCAACATCTACATCTAAACATATACATAGGCACATATAGCTACACGTACACAATCAGAACATTATGTACTATTTGCTCTTGTGTTTCTTTCCTTTCCTACTTAAATATCTATGTACTTCACGGAATTATTGTCAATAATGCGCTCCACGTTTTCTTGCTCTCAACATCCCACCTACGGATCCCAAGGCTCAAAACCCAAGATCCGAAACACCCCTGCAAGCCGAGTCCTAACCTGCCCCTGTGCTTTCGAACCCAAAGCCTTCACATCTGGCATGAAAACTGCAGGCAGAATTTCTCTAAGATGGGATCGTTTGTAGGATCCTTCTCGCTACAGCGATGTTTTTGAGGAAGGCGCCCAAGAGAAGCGTGGAACCGCCCCAAAACCCTTTGGGTCCTGCCGTCGCAAGGCAAGGCGCCAATGATTCAGACGGCCCCCACAACTGGAGGCCCTCCTGAACAAATGCAAATATTGAGATGTTTGGTGTTCGGGAACGAGAGTTCGAGGTTTCGGGTTTAGTGCGTCCACTCCCTGAAATCCTGAACATAAACACTCTACGTCTTAAAACCCAAACCCCAAAGCCGAAAACTTTAAATTCTGAACAACCTGACCGTAAAACTTCAATACCTGTAGTAGAAAATATGCAAACCCTAACCTCCACAATCGTTCCTTCGCGCCCTGCTCCATCGCGCCCTCATCCCGGACCCACCAGGCCGCATCCAAAAAACCCCGGCAGCGCAGTGTAGCGGGCAGCCCAGAGCAGACCCTGTCCTTGGTTTGGGGTATTTGGGGGGTTCTAATATAGTACCCTAAAGAGTAGGATCCCTATTATTATAAGGACCTCCCAAATCAGGTACCCCGTGTTTTCGGAAACTCCCATTTCAGGAGGGATCAGGGATTAGGGCCGTCAGCGTTCAGTTTCAATATGGCTATGGCCTGTTAAGGTCCGGATGCTGTCCGGCAGGCGTTTTTCTGCGGCGGGCCCCAATACAGAATCCCAATGATAGCATCCTCAGTATGAAGACCTGAGCAAGCAACCCACATGTACAATCCGTGTACAAAATCGATGACTTCCTTGAAACTGTACTGTTCGGGCCTGTCTTTTTAAGTTTTGGGTACGTCATGCGCCTGTGGTGATGGCTTTGCCGTCACGATCGAACACCGCCGAAGTCGTCTGCAACGATATCGTTGTGCAAGATGCTGGTCTGCACACTTGCAACAGCATCGAGGTAGAATACCACAAGCAAGCCACTGCACGGGGTAGCATTGCTCTTTTCTCAAAAGCCCTGTTTAGAGTCTAGGGTTTAGGGTTTAGGGTTTACTGTAGGCGTCTAAGGCCCAAACAGCCGAGGGCCCGTTTCAGACACGTGTTAGACCCACACGGAGCGCCCCTGCTCCCTCCCTCTCTCGGAAGAGACTCCAATATCGCTTAATTAAGGAATATTCCTTAAAACTATATAGTAGGATCCTTACTATAATTTAAGGAATATTCCTTAATAAAGGGATATTGGGCCCTAAACCCTAAACCCTAAACCCTTAATAAAGGGATATTGGAGTCTCTGGGTGCTCCGAGGATCCAAGTTGTAGAGCGCTCCGCGGCCCCCCGCAGAGCAGCCGCCGAAGACCAGTAGGTCGATGCCCTCGAAAACCGAGCGGTTCCTGAAGGGTGGAGGGTTTAGGGTTTAGGGTTTAGGGTTTAGGGTTTAGGGTTTAGGGTTTAGGGTTGGTTCAGGGTTCTGGAATGGTAAATTCTTTTCTGACGGCTCGGAGGGTTTAAGGTTCTTTTGCAGAGTTCTCCAGCAGCAAAATAGGTGTTGAGCGGTGGTGTAGCAGGTCTCTTCTGTTTAATACACGTTTTGGGGTTTGAAAGGACTCCATAGGGCTTCATGAAAACATGGCTGTCAGAAGCGCTATGGGGATTCAAATCCTTATTTGTTTACTTTGGTTCCTGTAGTGTCCTTCAGGGGTCTTGCAAGGTTGCGGGGCTTCAAGTTTCGGCTTTGGAGTTCGGCATTTAGGGGATGAGAGGGGTGGCAGGTTTGCTTGTTGTTGGGCCTCTGTTGCAGCAGTCTAGAGTTGAGACTTTCGCGGTGGCTTGCGGATGGTTCAATCAAGGTGTCGAGCTTGCAGCTTGCTTTGACATACCCATGGACCCCTTTTCAGCATGGACTTGAATTGTGTGCCAGCGAACACACCCATGGACCCCTAAAGTAGCATTGCATTCCGACAAAGGCACGGGACCGCCCAACCCATTACCTCTGTCCTGCAATGAAACAAGACTACGCTACCTTAGCATTTGTCTCCCGCATGGCAGTCGCGAAACGATCCTGCATGGCAGGTTACATGCCAAATATGCGAACCACTACCATTGGTAGTCTCTACATGGCTATGTGGGTTGTTAGGCAGCAACATGTGTCATGACGTCCTCTGAACTCGAAGCAAGGCCCTCTGGCGGCTTCCTGCCCAGTATATACCGTACCGGGCCACGATCAAGTCCAACTCAAATCAACTACGCCGGGGACCCCCTCTCGGCCGGTCCTAAGCTCTTCAAGGACGGCCGAGATGATGCGCTCGCCCTGGAAGAAATAGCCGGCAGCTGGTGCTTCCCCTGGGCTCCACTCTACCGCACTGAGGCTTGGCATTTTGACAAATCAATTGCGAAACCACCAGGGCATGACGAGAAAAAATGCTCTCGAAAACAGTCTTTGATGCTCCCCATTCTCTGATTTTGGAGTCTTGGAGCGAAACTGCCTGGGTCCTCTTTCCTGCTCCCCGGCATGTGCACTCAAAGAAACTCAAAAACAACATGACTCTGCACCCCAAACTGCATAGACCCACGGTTCAAGCAACATCTGCCAGGTGCGTGGTAAGAGCAGGTGTGAAGTACGCGAATGACAAGAACGAATTCACCAGCAGCAGCAGCAGCAGCAGCAGCAGCAGCAGCAGCAGCAGCAGCAACTGCAGGACCCCCTCCACCATCATCATTGTCATAGCAGAGCGGACGGGTCTCTCTCTATGTCCTCGTAAAGGCTGCCGAGCGTCGGTTGCCAACCCAGGAGTCAGAGCCTTCGGCAATGGTTGGAAGCCCAGCTGAAGCAGACATTTACTGAACGTGCTAGCCGCTAGCTTCAAGGGCTCTATCTATCTATCTGTCTATCTATCTATCTATCTGTCTGTCTATCTATCTGTCTGTGTATATATATATATAAACATAAATATGTACATATATATATATATATATGTGTGTGTGTGTGTATGTATGCATACAAGGCTTTGTCCGGATCAGCCCTGGGCATGAGGGCCAAGGTTTTCGGAGCCGGGACTCACGGAGAGGCAGCCAGGCCCCTGTCTTGAGAAAGAAGCCTTTTTTGCAGCAGGCTTCTCTGGGAAATAGCCCTAAACCCTACTAAACCCCAAACTGTGAGTGTGTTGTCTTACGGGCACATGCAACTGAGCCATATTCAGGCATGCGAATTCTGAATGTGACGAGCTGTAGAGTTGTAACTACCAGTATTTGGGATCATCAAAGCAACTACCCTACTCGTGGCCCCGGGAAGTTTCGTAGAGATTTGGGCTAGTCTCTACACACAAGCATGCAATATGGGAGAAACAACTACCTCGTAAGAATGCTGCGGAACCTGTCCAACCGCAATATAAAATCTGTCCATCACAGTGTCGCGAAAGTCCTCTTCAAAAGCGCGCGCCCCAAACCCCTTCACCTAAACCCCTAAACCCCTAACCCGAAACCCTAAACCCCTTAACCATAAAGGTGGACTTTCGAAGTCCGGGGAGCTGCAGTACGGCACGAACACGCGAGTGGCCGTCGCAAAGAAAGGGTTGGCATCCTAGCAGCGATGGCATTCAAAGGCTCTATGTCTTACGTTTTGTGTCTTCGGGATTTGGGGTATAAGGGCCTACTATAGCCATACTAAGGGCTTAGTAGGGCCAGAATAAAGACGTAATAGTAAAACCAAACCCTCCTGCAGGTTCAGGGTCGAGGTTGAAGATGGTTGATCATTTATTATGATTGTTATTACTATTAATAGTATTGTTGTTATTATGAGGTTGAAGATGGTGGAAGCATCTCAAGGCTTCAGGGTTTAGTCAAGCGATGCAGTCCTGGTGGGGTACATCTGAACCGCTGGGTTGAGCGGTTAGGGCGAGTTTGGGTTTGGGGGCGTCAGGCTGGATGCTGTGCCTGAATAATAAAAAGATGAATAATCATAATCATAATAATACTGGGATCCCCCGACATTGGCCAAAATGTGGGGGCGAGCCTTTAGAAATTCCAGATGGCTGCACAACGGCAAGTTAACCTCAGCCCTGAACCCAATGCAGCAATCGCCGCAACACAGTAAACCCTAAACCACAAGGCCTTAACACTAAACTACTAAACTTGAACCCTACACGTTCAATATCTTACTGGCACTGGCCCTAATCCCCTGAGTGCAGAATCGGGCCGACTCAAAGCCAATTAGATATACACCCCTGCATGTACAAGCCGGGACTGCCAAGGGACTTGTGCTGAGGTTTCTGACTGATGTAGCGGCCTATGTAAATAATTACCAATACTATTTTGGGGGTTCCGTATTATAAATATACTTTAAAGGAGCCCAGAACCCTCTTCGAATTATTGGGGCCCCTGTATTATTGTGGTTCTGGGGGTTTGGAGGGTTCGGGGCTTCGGACTGAAAGGGTCTCGGGCACTAGGGTTGGAGCATTCCAGGTGTTGCAAGTGCTGTCCGGGATTTGGCTTCAGAAGACAGGACAAGATTCAGGCCCCTATCTTCCGCACATGTAGAGAGTTCTCTTGTCATGAGGCTTATGCTAGGGACTTCGATTCCGATCACCACAAAGGCCCAAGCGCGAGTTCTGAGGTCAAACAGCGGCTTCACCGCAGGGCCTCGGCATCCGAGAAGATCCCATCAAGCTGCCGCAGCTGTGGCCAGTGGGCTGAGCCTTCCCATAGACAACGCTGTGATAAACTCCGCTCATCATCGTTCTTTCCGTTTGAAGTAGCTTTTGTCACGTGGGAACACTATTGCTATTGGTGCCTTTTGAACATCTGCAGCTTAGTTTGCTTGTACATTTTTCTCGAGAAATACACGATTCCAGGGCCCTGGCTTGCACTTGCAATTTGTTGTTGTCATCGTTGTGCTTATCATTATCATCGTGTCTGTCATCTTACCTGCTGTTTCGTGGCGGTCATTAAGGTTTTCTGCTTGCTGGCACAGGGTTCTCGTCCTGGGAAGGATGAAAGTTCGAGGGCTTCAGGAAACAAAAACATTTTCCTGCAAAAAGGGGCTGCAAACCAAGTCCTTGAATTTGAAGCCGTGACACCTTCTCATGGGCCTGTATTCACCGACTTGGAGATCAGGGCTGGGGGACACAGCAACCCCCTGCCTGAAACGGCACGAGGCAGCAACGGAGCTGGGTATCGCATCTGGCTCCTAGACCTCTAAACCTACAAGCCAGACTGCAAGCACCCGTCTTTTTCACGAGGTTCACTCCGGTTCGGAGAGTGACGCTGGCTTGGCGTTTAGGGTCTGAGGGTGTTTAAGGTTTAAGGAATTGGGGCTCCTTTCTGTCTAAAACAAAACCGGGCTCCGCTGATGCTCTTTTTGTACCATGAGGATCTAAGCCTTCGGGCATAGGATTTCATCATAATGAATACCGGGTCTTGAGGCTTGGGCCTCGGGGTGTTGAGGATTATCCGCTTTTCTAGCCCGGTAGCAGTTACCCTATGCAGACCAAATGTTTACGTTTCCCGCGACGCGGAAGGAACACGGCAGGCTTTGATGCAGGGTTTTGGGGGAAAGTAGCATGGCACCAGCAGCCAGCCCTATGCCGGGACTTAGGCGTGCCTTCGGACGCCTAAGCGGGCAGAGCTTGACTGAAGTTGAAAATAAGCCTCGGGCATCTCGGCAGCTGCAAACACACTACGCGCAGACATCACTGCTATCATAGTCCTCATCGCTCTCCTCCGTGCTGGGCCCACCGAAGGGGAAGATGCCGTCCATGAGACCTCGGCTCCCCTCAAGAACCCCTCCAAAAAATTCGGGTCTTACCCTGTTTCCGACTATTTCAGGCATCCAAAAAAGACCCCCAAACCAAGGGGCCGAAGATGACCCCGCCCGCAGTCAAGAAGATCGCGCCGATCACTTGGAAAATGTGGATCCAAGCCCACGCAAACCTTGCAGTCTTAACAACCCTTTGTTTTTGAACCCGGAGCCCTAAAACCCTAAAACCCCAACCCTAATGAGACCTGAAGAACCCTCACTTGATCTTGTGCATAGAAACCGATGCCGTCTTGCCAAGAGAAGCTTCGACACCCTAAGCCCCAAGGCCAGGAAGCCCCTCGAACCCCCCAAGGCGGGAGCCGAAAAAACAAAAAACCTTCCAGCCCCAAATCGAAGACAAAGTGGAAGCCAGAAGAGACCCCAAGGCCTATAGGGGTTTAGGGTTTAGGGTAGAGGCCCGACCAGACATCAAAGAAAGAGCTCCCTCGAAACCCGAAGTCCGCTGCTCCTGCGCCGGGGCGCGTCCTCTGCTTGTAGAGGTCCGTTGGGGCCTCGAAGTCTTCGTACCTGGGGGTTTAGGGTTTAGGGTTTAGGGTTTATAGGGTTTAGGGTTTAGGGTTTAGGGTTTAGGGTTCGGGATTCTGCAGACTTCGCGGAGTTCTGCCCCTACCGCTTTAGGTTGCAGCTTCAGAGCTGTATTATAGGGGCCCGGAGCTTCCTTTCCAGGCTCTTTATAAGGCTTCGAGTGCTCCAACAAAGCTTGTGGCCGTTAAGGGCTTCCTTTCAGAAGCCCCACCTCGCGAAGCCATCCATCAAGGTCGGGCCCCACAATCCGATGACCCCGATGGTCCAAGCGCCGATGAAGAAGCAGGCCACGGCCCAGAAGGGGCTCACGATCTTGTTCTTGGGCAAAGGCCAAACACCCTGCAAGCCCATGCTGGTGGCAACCATGAAGCAGGTGATGCCGTAGTAAGGGCAGGCATCCGCAAAGAGGGCGTTGGAATCGGGTGCCAGCACGTAGTGCAGGCTGATGATCTTCCCCGGGACGCCGTCGTAGAGCCCGGATATCGCAAAGAAGATGCCACCGAAGCAGATGATCGTTTGCCCCACAGCCAGACCAGCATTGTTGACGATCATGTTGATCTTGGTCAAAAATCCGGCAGCCACAGCCCACAGCACACCCTCAAGACACATGGTCACCTGCATGACGGTGTGGACCGTGCCGGCCATCTCGAACCACTTGAAGGTAAAGGCCCCAGCAATCAGCGAGAAGGAGATGACAAGGGTGATACCCGCAAAGACGTTACACCAGTCAGCCATTAGCACCATGAACCTGGGCGGCACCGGCGTCTTGAGCTCATCGCCCAAAATTCCCATCCTGTGTGCACACTCCGTCTGTTATTCTCAGTTATTCTCCATGCAAACTCTAACTCTAAGCTTTAAACCTTCCAAGTCCAAGCCCCAGGCGCTTCAGCCACTGCGGCGCAATCGGGGTCTATAAGCGAGATGCAGTCGGAAGCCCGCGCGAAGCGCTCGAGCCCACGGACGCAGACCAAGCTTGTCCTATGTGCAATTATAGGGTTTGGGAGACTTGCGGCTCGATGTCACCCTGGTGCAGTCCCGAAGCCTCACAGCCTGCAGTTTTCAATCCGTCTCAGGCCCAAAGCGTCTATCTGGCTGAGCCAAACTCACATCCTACACCGCACGCACCGGGCCGTGTGTTCTGAAACTGTTGGCTCACATTCCTGTCCACGCCTTTGAGCGCCGCTGGCCGGGCGTCACATGTTGCCTGGGTGCCGCAGTCACCTCGCACAAAGCCAGCACAATGAGACACCAAGACGGAGTCCATAGGCAGCAAAGAGCCCCTGCCCGTGCTCGATCTTGATTTTGAAGCGCAGCAGTTCCTTCTGCTGACAGCTAGCCTAACATGGAAGCTGATCCGAAAATCCCAAGCGGCCAGACCCTAAACCCTCAAAAATCCGAAAGCTTGAGCCACGAAACCTTAACAAACCTCACAACGCCAAACCCCTGAACCCGTAAGACCTAAACCGGCACCTTAAAACCAAGAATCAAAACCAACTTGTGGCTCAGAAGACTCCGTCCTGAACCCTGCCAACAGGAGCAAAAGAAGGTGAAGTGTATAATTTGCGCACGACCCATGTAGAAGCGTAAAAGGAAGCAATAGGAAACACATATCACATGACCCCGAGGACACCGAATGCAGCTGCCAAACCCCAACCTAATCCTCCAAGAGACACCTGTACCATCTCATACTTGACGAGGTGGCTTTGCTCTAAGCCGAACAAGCGCGATTCAAGCAAGTCTCTAACGACCTTGTAAGGCCTCACCACAACCCATCATCACTTTTGCCGATGTTGAGTAACAGCCTACAACCTTTTTTGTATTACGGGAGCCCTGATACGCTTTTTACAACGCTATCACTACAGTCAGAGACCTCAGGGAATAGTGCTACTGATAGCCCTAAACCCTTTTGCAACGGCCTTGTCAGATCTCGACCGGACTGATAGCCCTAAACCCTAAAGGATTCTTCGATTTTCCGACATTTTGCCCGGCCAGAGCCTCCCCCCTCGAGCCAGACCAGGAGGACGCCGGAGCCCTCTCGGAGGTAGAATCCCGGCTTGGAGCCTCGGGGGTGTTGAAGGGAAGGCGGTCTAGGGTTTAGGGTTT